TTTAAAAAAAAAAAAAGAGGGAACCTAGAGCTAGGGGGCACGGAGGAAGGCAGAATCTCCAGTGAGTACTATCCAATCTGTCTAGGTGGAGCTGATGAAATGAAATACAGATGGGTAACTCGTGATACTGTAGTGAATAATGGTTATCAGGACTGATTATGAGGGTTGGAAGTGCAAAGGTAGACATTTTGTAGCAAGGAAGGGAGCAATTATTTCTCCAGTCTAGGAGCGGTGGTCTCTAGGACCATCAACGGAGAAGAGCCGAGAGCGGGACCCTACCGAGAGAACCAGAGATCCCTGAGATGGAGACAAAGACGATGACGTGGAGTGATGAAGTGGCTGGGGACTTTGGATCCAGAGAGGGAGAGGGCCTGTGGGCCGAAGACTGGGGCAGGGGGGAAGGGGACAGGGCGGATTTCTAGGATATACCCTTTGGTCAGTTGATGATGCATGAAGGGGATTGGAACCATGGCAATGAGATGATATACGATGGAATGAATGTAAAACTAAAGTTCTCTCATGTAAACATGTAAACTATCATATAATTCACAATAAAACATTTTAAAAAATTATAATGAGATGCTACTTCACTCCCACTAGGATGGCTACTATTAAAATAAATAAAAAACAACAAGTGCTGGTGTGTTGGTGGAGATGCAGAATGGCACTTAACAACATCCTTCGCTGTAAAGTGCCATCAAGTCAGTTCCAACCCGTGGAGAGGCTGGTGAGCTTGAACCGCTGACCTTGTTTTGCAGTCCAGCACATTAACCCACAGCATCACACCAGGCCTCCATCCATGGCTAGTGGGAATATAAAATGGCTCAGTTAACTGTGTACAACTTTGGCAGCTCCTCAAATAGTTAAGCATAGAATTACTATATGATCCAGCAGTGACTCAGCAGTTCTCTTACTGGGTATAAAGCCAAAAAAATGAAAACAGAAACTCAAACAGATACTTGTAGCCTTCCCTCTTACCTTCAACACAGCAAGAGTCACAATAGCCCAAAACTGGAAACAACGCTGGATAAACACAATTTGTAGACACAGAATATGAAATATTCAGTCATTACAAGAAATGATGATGTGATATTTTGGTTGTCGGTGGTTGTGTGTCGTGGAGTCAGTTCGGGCTCACAGTGACCCTGCTGTTAGCGTAAGTTTGTTGGGTGCCGGAGAGTCAGTTCCAAATCATAGCGATCTTATGCACAACAGAATGAAACACTGCCCGGTCCGGCACCTTCCTCACAATTGTTGTTAAGCATGAGCCCATTGTTGTAGCCACTATACCAATATATCTCACTGGGGGTCTTCCTCTTTTTCTCTGACCCTCTAACTTACCAAGCATGATGTCATTCTCCAGAGACTGGTCCTTTCTGATAATATGTCTGAAGTATGAGAGACAAAAATCTCACCATCCTGGCTTCTAAAGAGCATTCTGGCTCTACTTCTTCCAACACAGATTTGGTTGTTCTTCTAGCAGTCCATGGTACTTTTAATATTCTTCCCCAACACCATAATTCAAATGCATCACTTTGTCTATAGTCTTTTTTAGTCACTGTCCAACTTTCACATACATATGAGGCTATTGTCGTCCATGGCTTGGGTTAGCATACCTTAGTCCTCAAACTGACACCTTTGCTCTCCAACACTTTAAAGAGGACTTGTGCAACAGATTTGCCTAATGTGATACATCGTTTTATTTCTTGACTGCTGCTTCCATAAGTGTTGATAGTAGATCCAAGCAAAATGAAGTCTCTGACAACTTCAATCTTCTCTCCATTTATCATGATGTTATTTATTGGTCCAGTAATGAGGAATTTTGTTTTCTTTACATCGTGGTGCAACCCATACAAGAAGGCTGTATTCTTTGATCTTCACCAGTCTTTTAAGTCCTCTTTGCTTCCACTGAGCAAGGTTGTATCATCTACAGAGAACAATCCTGATGCCATATTCTTCCTTCATATAATCCAGTTTCTTGGATTATTTGTTCCACATACAGATTGAATTAAGCATAGTGAAAGGATGCAAGCCTGGTGTGCACATCTTTCCTGATTTTAAACCATTCAGTATCTCCTTGTTCTGTTCTAACAACTACCTTTGGCCTATATACAGGTTTCTTATGAGCCAATTAAGTGTTCTGGAATATCCATTCTTCTCCATGTTATCCATAGTTTATTATGATCCACACAGGCGAATACTTGTATAGTCAGTAAAGCACAAGTTAACATGTATCTGGTACTCTCTGCTTTCAACCAAGATTCATCTGATGTCAGCAGTGTTATCCTTTGTTCCACATCTTTTTTGAATCTGGTTTGAAATTTTTGCAGCTCTCTGTAAATGTATTGCTGCAACCATTTTTAAATTATCTTCAGCAGAATTTAACTTGCATATAATATTAATGATATTGTTTGATGATTTTCACATTCCATTAGATCCCCTTTCTTTGGAAAGGGAAAAAATATGTATCTCTTACAATCAGGTGGTCAGATAGCTGTCTTCCAAATTTCTTGGCACAGGCCAGTGAGTATCTTCAGTGCTGCATCAGTTTGTTGAAATATTTCAATTTGTATTCTACCAATTCCTAGAGTTTTGTTTTTCACTGATGCCTTCAGTGTCGCTTGGACTTCTTCCTTCAATACCATGGGTTCCTGACCATGTGGTACTTCTTGAAATAATTGACAAATTGCTTTTAGTATAGTGATTCTGTGTATTCCTCCATCTTTTTTTGATGCTTCCTGCTTCAGACACTATTTTGTGCATAGTTTCTCAATATTCCAACTTGAGACTTGAATTTTTCTTCAGTTCTTTCAGTTGGGGAAATGCTGTACTTCTCTTTTGCTTTTCTAACTCCAGGACTTTGCACATTTCATTATGGTGGCGGTGGTTGTGCACCACTGAGTCGGTTCCAACTCATAGCGACCCTGCATAGAGTTTCTGAAGCTGTAACTCTATAGGATCAGAAAGCCTCATCTTTTTCCCGAGTGACTGGTAGAGTCCAACTGTTGACCTTGCTGTTGGCAGCTAAGCTCGGAATCCACTGTGCTACCAGGGATCCTTACTATATCTGAAAGCATTCTGCTGCTATTCATAAGGTTGTTAGTTGCTGACCACTCAGACGTAGTCCACCTTCTTCATAATC